AGTTTTGTGGTGAAGAGGCGGTGCATGCATAAAGGATTTGAAAGGCCCAGGCCCCCCACTTACCAGCTGAGGAGCTTTGGGCAAGTGAGTGAGGTACTTTGGCTCTTTTGTCCATCTGTAACATGGGCATTGGAAAACAGTGGCTACCTCCCAGATGATTTTGCACACTGCTTGTGGAAGCACTTTGTGGACTTCTGAGCAGGCCCTTGGTTCAGCTGTGGAAATTATTGCTGCCATTCTCTTTCTCAGGAAGAGGAAGCCAAGAAGCTGGTGAGCGAAGCCATTGCAGCTGGCATCTTCAATGACTTGGGGTCTGGAAGTAACATTGATCTCTGTGTCATCAGCAAGAGCAAGCTGGATTTTCTCCGCCCGTACTCAGTGCCCAACAAGAAGGGGACCAGGTGAGTGAAGGAGATAAAATTCTTCCCATGTCACCTGGCTTTGTGGCCACCTTTGATATCTCCATGACATCTGGACAGGGTTTTCTTGATTCTTACCCACATTAGGTAAATCCAGTGTTCCTAAATTAGCCTTACACACAAAACTTTGAATCATCGTTTGCTTTATGACAGCGGGCTGCTGTTAGGTGTAGAAAAGTAATTTAATTTGTAAAATGTTGATGGGAGAGGCGAAGTTGGGCCCAGGAAAGAGCCCTGGGCTGGAGTGGCAGAGGAGAGGTTTGAATCATTTGCTGGCTTTTCTCAAGTTTCTTAAAAGAATCGGCCAAATTCTGTATGAAATACATCTGCGAGAAGGTGCATTTTTCAGGGCAGCCAGCCCATAGCTTTTCCTTATAGTGGTCCCAGACTCCACAGAGTTACAAACCAGTGTTGACAGCCTCCAGAAGTGAGCCTTGGGAGCTAACTGGTGTTGCTACACTAGAAGGGGTCATGGCACCTAGCCTTGGTGGTGCCGCCCAGGCTCAGAGCAGGAGGATAAGGTTCTAGTTGGTTTGCTGAACAAAACTGGAAGGTTTCAAACCTGGTGGTAGGGGTGTGTACAGGTGAGCCACTCACTTGCAGTTCCTCCTGGTTGTCCACCTGCATGGCCACCCTGTGGCTCCTGACCTCCTTTGAGAGCCCTGGCAGCTCCGGATGTGGTTCCCTGGGCTCTGCCTCCAGCTGCATTCATCCGAGCAGATGACCGCAATATTTATAGTCTCTGCCACCTCCCATTTAGCCCCACAGCTAGGCTGGAGGATAGCCGGTGTTGCCTTTTGGAATGCTTGTTTTAACCCTCTACCTGTACTCAACTCTACATCAGGAGTGAGTCACAAGGAAAGAATAGAATGTTCAAAACCAGCAGATGTTCATTGTGGTCTGCATGCAGCACTGTGGAAGCTCAGTGTGTTCTTGGTGGGGTAGGGCCGTGTAGCAGCAGAGAGCTCTGGTGCAGGGCTGGGGAGTGTCAGTGGATGGCTTGGTGACTTTCGGTAAGTCAGTCTCTGAGATGATGGAGTTGGACTAGGAGATCTCTGATGTGCCCATGAAGTCCCTTGGGCTTTGAGCAGGAAGGGAAGCAACCATTCAGGCCCAGAGCTGTGTTGGGGAAGCAGGCCTTGTCAGGCTCCCTGAGGATGGGAGCCAAGTTCCCTGCATGGCCTGCTTCCCTGGTTAACTCGCAAGATGCTGTGTGACTTGAACAAGTCCATGATGAAGAGGTGATGGGGAGGGGGATGGTTACGCTCTGTCCAGACTGAACAGTATCCTGGGTGAGGATTCTGAAAGCCACGATTGAGCCATTAGAAGGAGGATTTGTGGTTGCACAAGGAGCCATGCTCAGTGCAGGAGTCCTTCTCCAGAAGGAAGGCTCTGTCCAGACTGAACAGTATCCTGGGTGAGGATTCTGAAAGCCACGATTGAGCCATTAGTAGGAGGATTTGTGGTTGCACAAGGAGCCATGCTCAGTGCAGGAGTCCTTCTCCAGAAGGAAGCACGGCAGTGGCATGTCTTACTCCATGGGATAGAGGGTACTCATCTGTAAAGGAGACTAAACACACGCAAACAAAAGGACCTTGTCAGCTAGCCATGTGGCTCAGTCAGGTGGTGTAGAAGGTGCTGGGCACGTGGTAGGTCTGCAGTGACCTGTCCTCCAGATGGAGCTGCTCCCACCTAATGCCCTGGGGCAGGGGGCACTGCAGCAATAGTGTCTGCACACTCTGGAATCTCTCACTGTCATCTTCTCTGCCTGTGACTGATGAAGGGGGCACTTCCTGGTTAGGGACCCCTTTCCCAGAGTGGACAGTCAGGGTGGGGGCAGAACCAGGGGCCTGGGCAGGCATCCTGTGCCCAGCACCAGTGTAGGCCTTGCCTTGTAATTCCGTGTGGCCTGCTCTGCTCTCAGCCCTGTTTGTAGTCTGCTGCTTAAGGTCGGAGCCCTCCCTGTATGCTGCTGAAGCCAGGCACTGTCACCTAGGGTGGTGAGAGGCTTCATGTGTCCAAGCCTCTCAGAGACATCAAGGTGCAGTTCAGATGAATCAGGCACAGGTGGGACTCTGGCTTCAGGATTGCATGCTGCCACCTGGGATCCATCCTGGGGGCAATGAGAGACATCTTCAAACCAACAAGGGAGAGGGAGGGGCACACTTTCCAAAGGTGCTGCTGCTTGGATACATTAAGAGTGTCTTGGAGGTGGGAAGGCTTTGCAACATTAAGGCAAGCTGTTCTGTGTTGTCCAAGCTCCTGAATTTGACATAGAACTCTGTATGTTGTCCTCCTTTTTCTGCTTCCTTTTCCCTCTTTGGGGCCAGGTGCCCATTTGAGAGGATGGGTTTTCCAGGAACACGTGGTCATGGCACAGCCAGTAGCCTTCTGTTAGTCCATGCCAGGCTGATAGAAATACTGGCTCAGCTAGGGACAGACCAGAGGAACAGCTGGGTTTGTGCAGCCATTTGATGGTACCGTAATTCCTGGCCCCAGTGTGAGAATTAACAGTATGTATCTCATAGACCTCTTTGTGTTCAGAGAAACCTCTCTCAGATTCACTCCAAGGAAGAAAGTATTGGGTACGTCCTGATGGTGATCCACTGTGTCCCTGAAAGGGACATTTAACTCTCCTTTCTTGAGTCTAGAGAGTGCAGTCTAAAGTGACTAGCCGAGAGTCTGGCTGGGAATCATTTTTATACTGCTTATACATCCAGATGTTTTTTAAGTGTGTGAGACAATAGTTAAGTCATCCTTCTTGCTGCATGAGAGAAGGACAAGCACAGTTTAATGAAAGGATTTACTTCCTACTGGTTACTAGAAGGTGCTTTAGGGAGGTCAGAGCTTGAAGTCAAATGACCAAGTGTTTTCCAACACGTACTGGGGATGGTGAGATGGTGGAAGGAAATTTGAGTACCCATAAGTGCCAGGTGCTCTCTATATTGTCTCATTGAATGTGTATTATATACCTACCAGGTGTCCCTGTTTTGCAGTACCTGAGAGCTGAGGAAAGTGAGCCTTGGGGAAGTTGAGTCCCCCTGTGTCACAGCACAGGAATCAGGAGAGCCAGCATTCCAGTCCAGCCTACCGGCTGCCTCTCCTGAGCACTTGCCATTCTCCAGCCCTCTGTTTGCCACCTTGAGGGGCTTCCTAACTCTGTGCTTTTGTTTTTCTCTCACTAGGTTTGGCCGGTACAGGTGTGAGAAGGGGACCACTGCGGTCCTCACAGAAAAAGTCACTACCTTGGAAATTGAGGTGCTGGAAGAAACAGTCCAAACGATGGACACCTCCTGAGTGGCATCCGTGGGTGGCTGGTTATTGCTCTAGAGGGCTGGGGCATTGGAGGCCCCTGTAAGACATTCATTTGGTTTGTTGAATCAAACTCAATAAACAAATGAAAAACAAGTTGGGCGGCTGAGGTCTGGGAAGTGTGGTGTGTTTTGTTTGGGGGCCACTAAGGACCATCCCCTGGCCTAACTTTCAGGATGTTAATCCCTCCGTGAGTACCAGTGTGGGTTTCAGGCGAGCGTAAGAGCACTGTGACCCTCTGAAAACAGACCTGGCCTCAACTGTTGCCAGAAGTCAGATTGGGTTACTTCGATGCTTCGGATGAACATTTATACCCACTTCTTGTGCTAATAGACTTTCTCTTTGTTCAGGGTGGCCCGTTTTTGTTTTTTTTAAAAAGGGTGATGAATGCAGCACAGCCTTCTACAACCAAGCAGCCAAACAGGAAAAAAATGTCAAACATGAAACTCCAAGTTCAAGTTTACAAACCCAGCTCAGTTGTAAGTCTCAAGAAAAAGTGGGCAGGTGGGTAGTTGGCTTTGTCATAGCTACAAGAAACTGGGTGAACTGTACTTTGGCCAGTTTCATGGAAATCAAATGAACGTTTTGGGGTTTACTGTTTTGTAATAATTAGGACATGATCATTTCACAAACACTCAGGCCTGGTGAGTGGTTGAGATTGTACACTGACACAGGGTCCTGTTAGGCAGATTGTTCTCATGCTGTGGAAAGCCGCTGGCGTGCAGAAACCAAGTTCATCTTTGTGCTGAGGCTGATCATGCCAGGGGGAGACACAGTGACACAGTTGGGGCTCTGAGAAACATCTTTGTGCTGAGGCTGATCATGCCAGGGGGAGACACAGTGACACAGTTGGGGCTCTGAGAGCCATAAGCAGAGTACTTGTAAAAAATTTGTCTGGAGTCAGAAAAACTTTCAGTGGTAAGTGCTAGGAAGGAGACAAGGACTTGATTCTCCCCTGTAAAGAACATTCCAGGGTAAACCCACTCTCAGGCCAGCTTCCCTTGTTAAAACTTCTGGGAGTGGGCTAGGGAGAACAATGAAATTATTGAGGGCAGCAACTTGGCTGATGATTATCTAAAATTATTTACGGACCTTAAAAAAATTCCAGGATTACTCAGAATGTCTGGAGCCTGGGAAGTTATGTTTTTAAAGGCTCCTCAAAAAATTTTGCTGCTGACGCTGTTCTACATTTAGGATCTACTGGTTTAAGAGCAAAAACTGAAGCTGTTTTAAAATCATCCATGAATCATACCCTTTCACAGAAGTAACTCCTCTTACCCCGTTTTATTTCAAACATGGAGAACAAGTACAGAGCAAAGGCTGATCTGGAGAGAATCTCTCGAGCCCGACAGTGTTACAGTAGAACAGAGTTCACTCGTGGAAACAGCAGTGGCCCGCACCAGGTGTTCTATCCCCAGGGAAGCCTGGCCAGCGAGGTTGCCACAGGCAGCCAGGTAAGTGTCAGGAAGCACCTGACCAAAGTGCCAATGGTGCTCCTATCTGGAGGGCTGCACTGTCACCAAGTCAGTGATGACAGCTTAGATCATTTGAGGGTTAACTTGAGTATATAAAAACAATTCAAGCTATTTCCTTCAGAGCTTGAGTTTTCCTTAAGTTCACATTTATAAATTAGTCTTCACAGTTAATCCTATTTGGGAACAAGAAATAAAATGAACACATTTTGGGTTTCCTACATATGATACAGCTGTACTTTAATTCTTGAATTACATGGTCCATGGACTTAAGTTTTGTGAAGGGATGAGTGGCTACCACTTTTGGATCATCTACAATGTGCTAGCTATCTTGCATATTTTATTTCAAATTCTGTCAGCAACCCTGAAGGTAGATACTACTAGTCCCATTTTACAGATGAGGAAACTAAGGCTCAGAAAGGCTAAAAAAAACCATGGAGGAAAATGCTTAACACTGATCACGAAATGAACCGCCAGCATTCAAGGAGGAGATGAGTGTGTGGTCCTTGGCAGGTGTTCAGGAGAAGATGGCTGGAGTAGACTGTAAGGAGAACACTCCTGGCTTTCCAATACCATTTGCCTGGTGATGTCTATGCCATGTGCTGGGTTCACCTCATTGTCATCCATCAAGTTATAAAACATAGATACAAATATTAGCAAAATCTCCGCCCCACTTAAACTTTATCCCATTACAACAGAGTAAATTAAGCACACAGCTTGATTGAAAAGATAGTAAGAACTAAACTGAACTTGCTACTAACCTTTTTCAAAGGTTTACTACACAAATCACACAGTTCTGCAAGTCTCCTGTTAGTATAAGCCTTGACAGGTCACTGAAGGAATTACCCTAAAAATTCACATTACATTCCAGATACAAGGTGGGATGTCAGTGGCTCACTGAACCACATACCCTTGTTAAGCCAGCTGAGACTGTCCACACAGTATAAAGAAAGGACTTTGAATATGACCATCAGTAACATGTGACCAGCGCCCCTCCCACCAGCTGCTCTGCAGTCAGCATCTGCTGTGAAGCCCGGCCCCTTTGGCGAGCCTGAGGAACCCTCTTATCTTAGCTGTTCTAGGCTACCAGGTGGCCACTTGGAGAGAAGACTCAGGTAAGGCAAAGTGGTGCTGACCGCGGATAAGTTGTGGTGCAGCCACGTTCAGGTGCTTGACATCCAGATGTGCATCTGTTTGGCTACCTGGTGCACGTATCCGATGTCAGGTCTCTGGTTGGGGTCAGGGTAGATGCACATACTGACCAGTTCTCGTAACTGCAGGGGAGAGAATGGCATGTGTTACTTTTAAGAAAGCAGCCTTATCTATGTTAATGCATTAGACGTCATTGCAACTGGAAGACGGTACTAATGTCCCCATCAGAGGTGAAGGATGCTTAGCGGGGGTAAATGGCAGCTGCACAGCTCCCAAGGGATAGCCAGGAGCACTGCTAGGCCTGTCTGGCCCCAAAGTCCCACTCAGACTCTAGAGTGGTTACTTCCAAATAATTTTGAACTGTCACTGTTCATACCACTGGGCAAATCTATTTCTGTGTGCGCAGGTGCGTGTGTGTCTGCTGTCAGTCACAGATGCCTAAACCAGAGGACAAAACTCAAGGAAAGGGCTTATTGATCATAATAAATGCATTAACATGCAGCAGGGCTGCAGTCTGCCCACCCCCTGGCCTCTTTATTGTGCTCATGAAAGACGGAGCTTTTAATTATACAGACACTGAAGGCTGCTCCTGCTCAAGGTGGGGGAGGGGCAACTTGTGCCTCTGATCACCTCCCGTTCTTCTGATAGCCAGAGTGCCAATTATTTTAATGGTAATTAAAATAATGACCTTAGAAAGCCTACATGTTAACTTGCATCACTAGGCTCACTGCACTTTTTCTTTGAAATACCTGCTGCTGGAGGAGCTGGCCCATCCTGCGGGGTTGTGGTCGGCAGCAGGGAGAGGGGAGGTCCTGAACAAGAGGAGGCTAAAGTGGACTTAGTGGCCACACTCAGGGAGTCTGGAGAGGCCCAGGGGCTACGCCGCACACACACCCTGTGCCGAGAGGGCCTGGGCTCCCTGCACACAAGGGGTTCCTCTGGATAAGCCCTAGGGCATCCCCTCCAACCTCTGTGCATGCCTTTTAGGGATTCCACTGCTTTGTAAACACTGGGAAGCCCCTGAACATATGACAATGGCTTGCAGCCTGCTTGGACACTCCTGGAGTCAGAAGTCACCTATGGACGAGACAGTACTTTTATGAACCTTACAATATTCAGGGGTAGGTAGCTGTGGTTGGCCTCTGATAGGTTCAAATACCCAAGGAAACCAGATTAAGGTGAAGTCTTTGTGACATGAACTCACTTACGAGTAGACCACAAAGTTAGCAATAAGTTCATATTTGAAATGTTCAGAAATCAAGAGAAACAAAACATGAATAATAAAGGGTCTTATTTTCATTTCAATATAACCTCAAAACTGGGGTGTGCTAAGGGGTGCCTCTTGCTCCCCAGGCCTAGAAATGCTGCACAGAACTGGTGAGAGCCAGGTGCTTGCAAGTAGGAGCTAGTGAAGATGGAATGGCTGGCAGGACAGAAGGGGGCTGAGGGCTTGGGGTGGGGATAGGGGTGGGGGGGTAGGGTGTTCTTTTCAGCTCCTGTGAGGACAGGTAACTGAAGTGCAGAGAAGTTGGATTTGCTGCAAGTTGCATGGCTAAGCTTCTTGCTTCTGAACAGTACAGAAGTCCAAATTTAAACACAAGATGAGAAAAGAAAAAGCAAACGCAACCGATAACTTTGGAGACAAATGCAGCTAGTTTTTCCTTTCCTGCCATCTTCCACTGGAGAGCACGAGTACTTACTCTGAAGCTGCAGGTAGGAACTCTGCAAGCCACTGGCATGCAAGCCAGGAGGGGAAAGGTGCCGCAGCGCCCCAGGCCCTCACTCCCCCGCCCCGGGAGTCTGCCAGGCCAGCAAGCGTGGCATTCAGCACAGAGGCTGCAAAGGACGGTCAGAGCACCGTGGAGACCTGGTCTGTGCAGATTGGCCTACCCCGGCCCCTGGGGAACAAGGATGCCCCTTCCAAAGTCTCACCCCAACTAGATGATAAGCTGCTGAAGGTCCCCTGTCAAGAAACAGAATGGCTCAGTGCCTAGGTGCAGGCTCTGACTTTTCATCTGTGTTCAGATCCTGCCTCCCTACTTACAAGCTCTGTTACCTCACCCTGGGCAAGTTCCATTTGTGTCTCAGCTTCCTTATTGGTAAGATGGGGTGAGGGGGGGATTTAACACAGTAAGTGTGTTGTTATCACAAGGCAATGGGCCTGTGGTCCCACAGGGCTGTCGGCGAAGGCTCAGATTCACATCCACTAATACTGGCCTTCAGCAGAAGCAATGGTAATAGCTGGCATTTAGTGAGCATTTACTCTGGGCCAGGCCTGCTGCTCTGTCCAGTGGCTACTTTTGATGATGGTGGTAAATGTCAGCCTGGTGCTAGACTGAGCATGTGACCTGCATTATGACCCTAATTCTTACGCTGATCCTGTACGAAGATTCTAGTATTATCCTCTTTTTACAGATGAAGAAACTGAGACTCAGGGAAGTCAAGTGACTCGCCCAAGAACAGTGAAGGGTGTGTGTAAACCTGTGTCTGTCTACACCTTTAACCAGTGCTGTGCTGTCAAACCTGGCATTTCAGCCCCACACAGTACCCATGAAGGAGATGACACTAGCCCTATCTTCTCTCACACACAGGTGTGGCCCGATGTCAGGCCTGTCAGAGTCTGTGTCCAGAGCCCCTGCACCCAGTGTAAGATGTTGAAAATAAAAACCCAAGGTGTGACTTCGGTCTGTTATAATAAGGAGACCAAACAGTCTGCTTGCCGTGGTTTTGTGTCTCGGGAGGGGAATAGCAGCCACTGGTGGTATTGGGGGAACTGGGGCCCTGCCCCTTCCCACCTCCGAATCCCAGCGTATGGCACCACATGGAGCCCGTGCTTGGGACCTGCAGCAGCAAGCAGGAGCAAGATGGGCAGAAGCATGCCAGCTCCTGCTGCTTCCTGCCTTTGAGCCCCACGCCGGGTGTCTGTGGAACCCCTTCTTTAGTAAAATTCATCTATGTTCCCTCCTCACCACCCCCACCCAGTTACTTTTCCAGATAACTTCCCTTCTCCACCCTGTTAAGTGTCAAGCTCAACCCCATAGCCGTGCTGGTTTGGAACTGGCCGCCCAAGGCTCCCTGGCTTGCCTCTGGCTTCAGCAAACTCACCTTCTCTGAGTAATGCTCCTCAGGGAGAGGCGGGTAGTCACACTGCTCGATCTTCTGGCAGAGGGAGAACAGATTCATTTTATCCCCGTAGAAGGGGCTCTGGAGAGCGGCCATCTACAAGGGGAGGGGAACAACAAAGACGAATTTTCAGCCCTGAGCCCAGGAGGACCCCAGGGGCAAGAGGGGCCACTCCAGATTGGGGGTGACTTCTGGTCCTCACTGCAGTGACTGTCCAGCAGGACTTCTCCCCTGAAACCCTGAGGAAGCTAGGATTCAACAGAAAGGAGTGGATGTCACAGGAGCCTTGTTACATAAATGAATTAAATAGGGACACGAGTTTCAGGACAAAACCAAAGGCAATGAGAATGGGGCAGCTGAACAGCGAGGGCACACAAAGACTGGACTTGGTCGTGAGCGCGCAGCAGATGGGGAGACAGGCTGCGCAGGCCAGGACGTGAGCCTGGCCCGGCAGGTTCTCTAGCACGCACCACCTTATTTATTGAAGAAGCAATTCCAAAGCCACCGTGGGAGTATGTCTCTTTAGGTAATACATTCAGGGAACTTTACTTACCTAAGGACTAACGTATCCGGGGTAGCAGGGGAGAGGACAGGCATTTCATTTTTGGCTTTCATTGTAGCTTTTCTCGCCAGCCCATTACAGTCTGCCGTCTGTGGAAGCCAATGCCCACCTGGGAGAGCAGGCGGGAGGGAGGCTGCCTCCTGGCCCTGGATGCAGGGGCCCGGGACCTTCTGCTTCAGGGAAGCTCTGGTGGGGAGGGCAGCGTCTGGCTGTGCCCCCCACCATAGCTCTGCCTGGAGCCTAGCTTGCACCTGCTGGCTGCATGTCTGGACTTGTTTTGTCATCTGTAAAATGGGGAAAGGCCCAGGCACAGGCTCCACCTTGAAGGCAGGCAGGCTGCCAGGCACTGGGGAGCGACTGTTCACCCAGTTGAGGAACTACCAGGCCTCCCCCTTCTGGAGGGCTCCTGGACTCCCCACTTCACCATTCAGAGCACTGATGGGGGCGTCTTCAGAGAGGGTGCTCGGGGGCCATGCAGTGGCTCCATGAGGTGGCAGTGTGGCAGCCCACCGGCCCCATCTGCTGATTATTCCCTAACGGGATTCAAGTGCTTCTTGTCACTCCCGTTCACTGTCGCCTACTGCCAAGTGACGGCCCCATGCCTCCTGCTAACGAAGTGCCATCGGGTAATTGTGCCTGCCTGTCCATTTGGTCCCAGTGCCCTTCTGAGGAGCCAGGCTGTTGGGGGCCACTCTGCTCTGCTCCCTGGCAGGGGCTCCTGGGTTCTGGCTGTGAGGGGGCATTGGGATAGCTGAGGAGTCCTCTCTCATCCTCATGCCCCAAGGGTGGGCCAGGGAGCCCTATCTCAAGGCAGGAGGACCCATGGTAGCAGGGCTTTTAGGTGCCAGTCAGCTTTGGTGTCCTGGTCTGCACCCCATCTTCTGATGACCTGAAAAGCCTGGTCTGCCTCCTTCCGAGCCCAGGCAGTGTCCCTGGGTTTGCAGATGGCTTTGGGGAGGTGGCAGAGTGTGGCCTGGAGATTCTGGGTTCCTCAGACCTGGGTCTAGGAATCTCAATTGGCAGCACCTGCCGGCCCAGGTGCCTAGGCCATGCCAGGTGCCGTCAGTTGTGCATTTAGGGGCAGCCTCACTTCTCCTGCTGACCCCATAGACTTGGGCCCCTCTGAGGAGGGGTGGGAACTGTCTGGACCATGAAACCCACCCCTGCAGGAAGGCTGCAGAGAGAAGTCCTGGCACTTGGCAGGGGACTGATGAGTCTGTAGGTGCCCTGCCCACCCCAGGGCCCATCGACCTGCCTGGGAGAGGCTTTCCCATCTAGTCTGCAAAATGGCATCACTTGGGTGACACATTTCCAGTAATTCAAATGACAACCTCAGATGCCAAGGGTTAATAGAGTAGTTTCAAAGGACATCTGTTGCCACAGCAGAGAGCAGCTGAGACTCCAAGGTGGTCACTCTGGCTGATCTGGGTGTCCTACGAGTCATGGCTGTGGGATTAACATGGATTTTCCTGGAAACTGTTTCTGTACAGAGCAGAAAGGACACTTACATGTTGGTACTGCTAACGCGGGCCCTGGTTTTTCATGTGTCTGACCTAGGAGACTGATCTGATTTTTACAGACCTTACTGCTTGGGACTCCAAAAGGGCCGCAGAAAATTGGGGGGCAGTGAGCCCCCATATCTGCCATCCCCTTCAAGTCATTTCTCCATTCTTCCCAGCACCTTCCCCACATTGTTTTAAAGCTTTCTGAACAGGGTCAGCAGTGGGCTATCCCAGAGGACCCCTGTCGCCTTCCCCGCTGATATGTCTCCATCCACAGCTGCAGATTCCAGCAGAGGCAGTGTCCGCGCTGTCCCCCTCCAGCTGCCGGCCACGGCCCTTCCACCCAGATCAGGGCATCGGGCTGTGAAGGGACCTCTGGGCTGCTGGGATTAGAACGATTACCCCAGATGGCGAGATCTCCTTGTGCCGGCGACCACCCAGCCTCTGACTGGTCGAAGCAGAAGAGAAAGTGCTGTTTGGGGCTGATATTGGTCACCTCGTTAGAACTGCCAAGGCCATGGCTCTCAGCGCTGCTCCTCAAATGCAAAACTTTTTCTCTCTGTTGTTATTGGGATGACACATAGCCAAGGAAAAGGGAGCGGGTGGGCACTTGCCCCCGCCGGGAGGACTCAGAAAAACTGGTATGTGATCCAAGATGTCAGAGGGAGAAGGGGGATCTGACTCCAGTGAGAACAGCGATTGCATCTGACTCCCGCCTGTCAGGGCCTCAGACACCCATCTCGTTGCCCAGCATCTCCTGAACACGTCCTGGACTGAGGGTGACCCAGAGGCGAGCTGCCAAGCAGGCTGCAGCCCCGCTCACCGACCGGGAGGGGCACCCGGCCATCCACTGCTCAAGCAGCGTTCCAAAGCAGCATTCCGGGCAGCACGAGGCACAGCTATCTTTCCCCGAGCCCACCTTCTTGAGGGTCTCAGTCCTCGATGCACCCCTCGAGGCCCCTCGAGGTCCTGGGGCTGGCGTCAAGCAAGCTGATTCCTCCTGCATGCTCAGAACTGAGCTCCCGTGTTAAGAAATAAACTCTGCAGAGCCAGGCAGCTCGCTGGCTGTGTCCAGGGCAGCACTGTTGAGCCGTTTGGCACGTCTCTCCACCTGGCACCCACCTCTGGGGGTGTGAGCCAGGTGTAGTGCTTTGTGGGGGCTCATCACCAGCCATGGGTCAAGGTCGGCATGCTCAGGTGACCTCAGGAGGTCCTGGTGGTATTGGGATGCCCAGGGTGCACGGGGGTGTCCTGGGCTCATTAATGCCCCCCAAAGATGTCCAAAACCCTATCATTGGAACCTGTGAGTGTCACCTTATACAGCAAATGGGATTTTGCAGATGTGATCAAATATAGGATTCTGAGATAGGAAGATTATCCTTGATTATCCAGGTGGGCCCAAGGTAATCACAAGGGTCCTTATAAGAGGGAGGCAGATGGAGATTGACTGTAGAAGAGGAGATGTGTTGATGGAGGCAAAAGGCTGGGGTGATACCAAGAAGAGGCCATGGAACATAAATGGCCTTTCCATTTTCCATGGAAATGGCAAGGAAACAGATTGGCCCCTAGAACCTTCAGAAGGACCCTGCCCAGCTAACACCTTGATTTCAGCCATGTGAGACTGACTTTGGACTTCTGGCCTCCAGAACTATAAGAGTATAAACTTAAGTTGTTTGGAGCCATCAACTCTGTGGTCATCTGCTACAGTAGCCACAGGAAACATACAGGGGGCTTTTGAGACTTCCAAAGCCATGCTGGGGCTCGGGGACAGGGCAGGTTTTCCCTGGCTGTGTGCCATCACCTCAGGCCCCAGCTGTCCTGACTGGGGCATGTGCTCCACTGGGGCTTCACCAAATCCTCAGACGTGGTCAGGAGTGGGTGGATGGGCGCCTTTGTCCCAGCACTTGAGGCTGGCACCCCGGGAAGGCTGTCCAGCAAGAGGCTCCTGTCGTGACTGCAGGATGTCTCCTTCCAATTACACAACCCTGGGCTCAGATGTGGCTCTGTCCCTGTGTGCTGGGAAAACATCCGCTTCCCCTCCCTGTCCTGGGCCTGGGAGTGGGGGAAGCCCCCAGCCTATCACCCCCGAGGGTCCGGCCGCGGGTGGCTGTGTCAGCCATGCAAGCCCTCTTGTTTGGGGGAGCCCAGGGCCATGAGGTTTAGATCAGCGCCTGCTGTCCCTGAGAACATGCAGTCCGTGTGGGCCTTGACTGATTGATCTCATCGACTTCCCTGAGCCAGCCTCGATGCTGGGAGCCACCGCTGCCTCGTTAAACACGCACTCAGGTGCCCAAGACGAGGACACAGAGGAGACCTGCCTGGCTGGGAATCCAACGAGGACACCGCTGCGGGCCTGGCGTGGGATGGGACCGGGCTGGTGACTGCAGGGCTGGTGCTCGGGTGAAAGGCTTGGCACGAGCAGAGGGAGCCAGCTGCTGGCCTCCTGGCCCCAGCCCCGGGGAGAGGCACATGGCTGTGCTCAGGCCTGGCCGGCCTGTGTTTGTTTACCTTTGGGGACCCCCGTGGTTCACAGAGGGCAGGAGGAGGCTTACGCAAACACCACACACAGAATGGAAAAGGAAAAGGAAAAGGAAAAAACCATCTGGCCTCGGTTTTCATATACATGAGGACGAAGCAGAGTCCTCCACAGGGACTGAAGCTGAGCTGCCCTTTGGCTTCCCACTGGCCAAAGCAAAAAGGGAAACGTGGCAGCTGCAGGAGCCTCACGGCCGGGGGCGGGCAGCAAGCGCTGGGCCAGGCACCTCACCAACAAGGCCTCATTCCCTCCTCGCTACAAGGCCGGCTGTGACCCCACCCAGAAGCAGGGCTGTGGAGCAACAGGGATGGAGGAAAGACACAACACGGTCCCCTCCAGAGCGGGAGCCAGGGACCGTGCCCTCCCCCAGCCACGGCAGCCACTTGGCGGGCCCCACCTGGTCTCCGCTGCAGCCACTGCCCCGTGGAGTCCCAGAACACAGCCCTCCCCTTCTCTGCCTGTCATGGCCTGACTCCCCACAGCCTTTGAGATGACACTGTGGGTCGCTGACTTCCAGGGGAAGGGGTCCCAAGCACCAGTGCCACAGGGGCCACATCTCCAGCCAGTCCTGTGAAACGAACTATCTGTTCTCATTAATAGCAGGCACCTGGCTTAAAAAGAGAGATGCTGTGAAGTTTAAACCTTGCAAAGGATCAGAGTTTGGATCTCATAGTCTCGATCTGTGATACAGGGAGGGGAAATCTCACTGGCAAAAGACCCTGACCACGAGAGCTGCTGCAGTCCCTCCACCGCATGCAGCAGTCAGCACATCCCTCGAGCTTTTTATATACAAGAGCTGTGAGGTCGGTTAACAGAGGCACACTCCCAAGGAAGCAAAGTAACTAGTCTCTGCAGAGGCCAACAAAACACTCGTGGTGGCCCTGGTCACACTGTCCTGAGTGTCACTGATGGAGACCGTCACTGGCCACATCAGCTTAATAATGACGTTCTGCCAGCTTCTCAGCTCCAAGCCAGATCCTACATCAGTGCTGGGAACACAGAGAAGTAATCAAGGTTCTGATTCTAAAACCAAGCTGGGCTTGGTGTCTCACAGCCCTGGGGATTCCAAAGCTCCTTCCTGTCTATTGTTGCATTTATCAGGACTATGACAATGCAGGACAGGTACTACCATTCCCATTTCGCATCTGGGAGATGGGACCCAGCAAGACGGATGGACTCCAGGAGCTGCCAAGCACTGGGTGGTCCAGGGCAGGGTGGTGGAGGGTATGGCTGCCAACCTGGAGATGCCAGAGGGCTCAGGCTTCCCTCCTGTCGGAGGTTGCAACAGCTTCATGGCCAAGAGTGGCTCCTGCTCTCCAGACCCCCAGTTACCCAGGCCCCAGTGTACTGGCCAAAAGGGTAGGGGCTTCCATTTATTCATGTTGTTTCATGACTGGGCTCATCGGGACTCAGGAATGTCCCCATCCCTCGGTCTAGGCCAGCCGCCAGATCTGCAATAGTGAGACCCACGTTGCTGGGCCTGGAAGGTGGACACGCCTTAGTGGGGAGCGACCCAGAGGCACGAGCCAGGTCTGAGTCCTCTCCTGTCACCAGCACCCTGCATAGGGCCTGATCCATCCATGAATAATAAACAATGAACAAAATCATTCGCCTGCTAATGTGGTTACCAGGGAAACCAGGGGGCAGCTGGGGATCTGGGGCAAGCAGGTCACCTGAGCAGCCAGATCCCAAGTCTGTGCTCCCTCTGTCTGCTTCCAGTCTGTCTCCCTTCCCAGATCTGAGCAGCCCGCTGCTGTCCACCCCTCTAACAACCTCCACCAGCCCAGCCTTGCAAACCAGGCGATGGTGGGCTGAGGGGGTGAAGGACTGGTCCCTGACTATACCAAAGCCATGGGTGGACATGATGCATCCCTGGATCCCCACCCTGAGCTGGTAAGGTGAGCACTGCCCAGACTGGGTGCCCCCTGCATACGTCCCACCAAATGCCGCCGAGCTGCGGCCCAGAGGCTCACCTCGTACAGCAAACAGCCCAGGGACCAGATGTCGGACTTGAAGTTGTAGCCGTTTTCATGGATCCTCTCTGGTGACATGTAGTACGGCGTCCCAACTGAAACACAGCAAGGGGCAGCTGCTTACACCCTGTGCAGGGGCAGAGGCAGGAACACGGGAGCGGGATGGTGGAGAAGGGGAGGGCACACGGGGCCTCAGGCTCTGAGCTGCCCCCTCTCCCTCTCTGGGCCTGTCCTCTTCTCTGTCAAATGAGAGGGTCGTACCAGATGGGAGGTTCCCACACTAGTAGGCATTGAAAGCACCCAGGGCACCAGGAACTTCAGCACATCCCCAGGACCCACACAGACCTAAGAATCAGTCTGGGGTGAGCAGCTGGAGCTCAGTGTTTCTGCCATTGCCCAGGGGGATGGGAAGCAACTGACGGAATGTCCTTTAAGGTGATTGTTTGAATCCCGGAAGAGTCTGGATCAGGCTTTCAGCAGTGAAAAGAAAAGTCACGGTAACATGGACCAAGCATTTCCTAAGTGTCATCTCACCCATGTTCCCAACAGTCCCATGAGGAGGCGTCGCCACTGATCTGATGGAGAAAGTGTGGACAGCCCTGATCAACACCTGGCGTCGGCCGACATTTCTTAAACGGGATAGAAAAGGCACCAGCCGTAAAAGACATGATTGGTAAATACCGCATTACAATTAGGAACTTCTTTAAAATGAGGAACTTCAGTTCATCAAAAGACACCATTCAGAGAGTGAGAAGGCAGGGCACAGCCTGGAAGAAAATCGTCCCAACATGTCTGTCTGACAGTGGACTCACATACAGAATGTATTTTAAAACTTCTATAAATTGATAAGTAAAACAAGCCCCTTCTTCAAATGAGCAAGACTTAAAGGGGCACTTCACAAAAGAGAATATCTAAATGACCAAAAAGCACATGAAATGATATTATTTTCCCCAATACTCACCGGGGAAGTGTGAATGAAAAGCACAGTGAGGTGCGACTACACACCCATCTGAGTGGCTGAAGGTAAAAAGCCACAGTGACAAAAACAAAGTAGGCGATGTGCAGAGCCACCAGAGCTCTCACACGGCGCTGACATGGACGGGACATGGTACAACCACCTTGGAAAACTGTTTGGCAGAATCTACTCAAGCTAAATGCTGCCAGCGCTATACCCCAGCAGTCCTACTCCTAGGTATATACTCAAGAGAAATGAGTGCTTCTGGCTGTCAAAAGACATGATCAAGAATGTGCACAGTGGCTTTATCTGTTGAGAGCCAAAAACTGGAATCGCACGTCCATCAACAGGAGACTGGACACATTGATAAGCTGTGGTCTATCGCGACAATGGAATACTATACAGGAATGAAAAAGAACAAAACTCGGGTACACGCAACAAAATGGGTCAATCTCACAGAAGGCTGAGTGACAGAAGTCGGGCACAAAACAGCAACACTGCTTGATCCTATTTCTATGAAGTTCAACAACAGTAAATACTACTCTACGGGAGTAGTGACCAGGAAAGGGCTCAAGGGATACTTCCAAAAGCTTGTGGAAAAATAAAATGAAAAGATAATATGAATCTTTCCATGAACCCTTTAACCCTCATGTGTATATTACACCTCAATTAAAAAGTGAAAATGAAGGAAGCTTTTGATTGGTGAGGACAGGGCTCTGCTGCCACAAGGAAAACCGAGGACTGCGGGGACTCTCCATGGGGTCCCTCTTCTTCCGGGAAAGGCCAACACTGAGGAAACTGCAGGGGTGTGTCCTTACCTTCCAGTCCCTGCAGGGCTCTCTCTGGGTAGAGGGGCACACTTTGAAGAGCTGGAGGTGTGCAAAGATGGGAAGATCTCCCTGTCACAGGGGCATGTGAGCTATAGCAGACGGACTGAACTGGCAGGCCTGGGTGGGGGGCCCAGGAACCTGGATTTGTAAACTGAGATTCTGCTATCTGCCCATTTAGAGAATGATTGTTCTGGACGCTACACAACCAGATTTTTAAGGTTGCTACATGGAGAACATTTTCACTGGCCTGGAGACGCCCTGCCATGTGCTGGAGGCTGCTGTTCTAACCAGAGTCTGTGTGGGGAGCTGGAGCCAGCGTGGCACAGGCTGAGCTTGTGATGTGCCCCATGACATGAGGAAGGAGGGACCCTGCACCACAGAAACACCCAGAACCCTGGGAAGAGAACAGGCTATTCAGGGAGCTGCACTCAGAAAGCAATGGGCTCAGGCTTCAGAAGTTCATGGGCAAAAGATGTTTGGGAGCAAACACAGGCTGGGCAGCTTTTAATTTTGCCAAGGAAGGGCATTTAAAAAACACAAAACTCCCAACTACCATTTAGTGTCACTATTATTTCTAAATGAAAAGACAGTTTAACTCTAGAAAAAGTAGAAAGCCCATAATCTCAAGATCAAGCACAGTCCTTCACAGTGAAAGAGTTTCATTTTGAGCCCTTTATTATATTCTCATTTTTCTCATCTTTTTTTTTTTTTTTTTTTTTTTTTTCCGTGTCCGGCAACGGATCGCAACCCTCAGTGTTGCCCCCGTACTGGACCGGGGACCGGCGACGAGATCGCAAGCCTCGGCGTTGCTCCCGCGCCTCGCTCTGAGCGGGAGCCGGTCTGTACGTGGGATCCGAACCCTCGGACGGGAGCGCTGCCGCGCTTCCCAAGCGGCGCACTATCCAGTGCGCCACCGGGCCGGCCCCCATTTTTCTCATCTTATTGGAGATGGATGAACAAGTCTGCCTTGCCCAACAGAGAGAGGCCGTGAACGGTGTTGGAAACCACCGCTCTGGGCTGTGAGCTCCTGGAGGCACGACCTTGCCTGCCGAGGTGTCCCAGTGCCCTGCACAGGACAGCCACCACAGGTGCCTTGCAAGTGTCCACCCACTGAGTCACCGAGGCATCCACACACTACCAGACAGTGTGTGTCAGTGTGACACTTCTGTCCTGCTGCTGAATGCACTGCTTAACTGTTAGCGGCCTGAGAGGGACGATCTTTATGAGCTCGAGTCCGAAACGTGATGATTGCTTTATCAGGACACCAAGCATCCTTTCATGGCAATAATCCCTAAACAAGGACAGTAGCCATCACCTAAAGACATGGTTCTGAGAAATGTGTCCTCCTATATGTGTACTTTATGGCTGAAATCAGGGGGTAATTGCTCTACAGAAGAAAGAGCTGTCAGTCAACACACGAATCTCTGTGGGATTCCGCTGCGGAAGCAAATTGCGACTTCCAGTAGCAACACCTTGTATATTTTGGTCATGAGGGAGCAAAACGAAATGAACAGCCAAGCGTGAAGCAGATGACTCGTCATGGCCAAACCTCAGGGTGAAATCCAAACAGTTCTCGGTCAACAGTGGGAACCTCAGGACAAGTGTGAGCGGAGCCCGGCACCCGGGCGCTACGGATGGATGTGCCTGCAGGCTGGACGAGGACATGGGCCGGTGGGGTCCACACAGGGACGGCAGAGGAGAGGAGGAGGTCAGAGGTCCTGTCCCCAGCGAGGGACAGTAGTGTCTGGCTGTGCCACACTCTTAAGAGCCCTGGCCAAGCCCCCTCCTAGCTGGCCGCGACAGCTATTCCCACCCTCAGTCTGTCCTCTGCTCACTTGAGATCTGCCTGAGTCTCCACATGAGGGACTCTGGGTGGAGAGATGACCCACAGAGTGGCCAGGGCTTTGGCCTGGGACTGCCTTGGTCAGGCCTGACAGCGAGGTCTTTGAGCCCCTGGCCCCCAGCCCACGTCCCTGCACACCTGCCACCCCAGCCCAACCCCAGCCTGCTCTTCCATCCGCCTCTGTGCCTTTGCACATGCTGTCCCCCTTCCCACCCACTGGGCTCCTTGAAGGTCCAGCTTAAACCCCCTCCCCCGGCCAGGGGAACCAGCTGCTCAATAGGCCTGAACATTTGATTTGTCCCTCTGTCCTGTCACCACTTTCTCCCTCTGCCAGGCTCTGAGGCAGGCTGACACCGTGCTCCAGGTCCCTGCCTCAGCCCAGCTTGAGGCAAAAGCCTGGGGCTTGCAGGGAGAGAAGGTTGGGGGCACTGCCACCCCGTCCCCTCTACTCTCCACCCCAAGCCTCTGCCCCCTCGCTGCTCTTTCCGCTTTTTCCCCAGTTTCCACTGGTTTTAAGGAAAAAAAGGCAAACACCTAAATGTAATTTGGAACCCTCCTCTAAGATGCCAGTGCTGTATACACCATGCACCCACCACACATCCATCTGTCTGTCCATCTGTCCATCCACAATTGTTCACCTATTGTCTGCCCATCCATCCATCCATCATCCATCCATTCGTCCATCACCCATTCTTCCATCCATCAGTCTGTCCATCTAGCATCTGCCGGTCCAACCATCTATCCACCCCCTGTTCACCCATCCATCCATCCATCCACCTCCATCCAATCTGAACTGAGCCCTGATGCTGTGCTGGGACCTGGCAGGAGTGAGCCCATCAGGAGGTAGTGAGTTGCCTACCCCAGGAAGTCTCCAGAAGGAGCCAGCTGACCACACATATCAAAGAAGGTCTAGACTGATCAGTGGCCACAGCTGAACCACCTAGAGGGGCTTGTTAAAAATCTGGGTCTGCAGCCCAACCCCAGACCTGTGGGATCAGAATCCCCAGGGGTGGAAGTGGGACACCTGCATCGTTCACAAGCTCCTGGGGCTTCTGATGCATGTTACAGTCTGAGAGGAGCTGCTGCAAAGCCTCACCACCCACCTGTTCATCCTTTCAGATGCTCAGTAAACGTCTGTGGAACAAAAAAATAAATTCATGAAGCGTCAACTGAGGGAGATTTGGCCCATCCTGTGCCAGGCACCGGGCCCTCATATCCCCGTCTCCTGGCAGACTCTCCAGTCCCCAGACCCTGAGGAGGGGCTGCTCCCCCTTGGTCTGTGCATCTTAAAGTTGGGGTATTCTGCCTGCCTGGGGGGGAGGTGTGTCCACGACTTGTGCAGCGGTGCATGAAGCTGCAGGGGTAGACACTGCCCCTCTTTCTGTGATGCCAGCTTCATCTGGGAATAAGTCACGTAAAGCCTGGTTTTTATACTGACAACAAACACTCAAACACCACATCACGGAG